ACGCCAAACCCTCAATAGGGTGCTGCACAACCAACACAAGATGAGGATCACACAAGCCATGAGCAATCCACTAGAGTACCTTTTGGCTTCCACCGAGAAAAGGTCAAGAACTCCTCGCAATCACCATGATCGGAGCCGGAGACAATCACCAACCTTCATTCGACGATCCTCGTTGCTCCAAGCCATCTAGGTGGCGGCAACCACCAAGAGTAACAAGCGAATCCCATAGCGAAACACGAACACCAAGTGCCTCTAGATGCAATCACTCAAGCAATGCACTTGGATTCTCTCCCAATCTCATAAAGATGATGAATCAATGATGAAGATGAGTGGAAGGACTTTAGCTAAGCTCGCAAGGTTGCTATGTCAATGCAAATGACCAAGAGAGTGAGCTTAAATAGAGCCCCCCAAAATAGTGCCGTTGGCTCTTTGCCCTCAGCTTTCATGGGGCGACCGGACGCATAGGTCACGATGACCGGACGCAGGCCCCTAGTGTCCAGTCATGGATCTTCATCCACGTGTCCCCTAGATTCAACGTCAGCTACCAGATCCCAATGGTTGATTCTCAACGCCCTAACGGTTAAGTGATGACTGTACGCGCCCAACATGGGATCGGACGAGCCGGTGCTAGCCTTACCCACGCGCGGCAACACATGACCGGACATGCTGATCAACCGCGGTGCCCTCACGTCAGGTCATTTCTAGAGAGCTCCTCGAGCGCCTAAATGCCGACCTGACGTGTCCGATCTCTACTGACCGGACTCGCCCAGAGTCAGGTCTTCTCCACGCTCACTCAAACCTCATATGTCAGCGTACCTTAGCCTGACCAGACGCACAAGCGTTGAATCAGGTCACCTTTTACCCCAGCGTCAGGTCATGCACCAGACAGAGGGCGAGTGCGCCAAACTTCATTTTATAATTGACGGGACGCAGCACCTCCGAGTCTAGTCACCACGTGACCTGCGTCCGGTCACTGTTTCTCAGTGAAAATCACCTCCTTCACTTCAACAACTTTTTCACCCTTGCTCCAGTGTGCCAACCATCAAGTGTATCACCTTGTGCACGTGTGTAAGCATATTTTCACAAACATTTTCAAGGGTGTTAGCACTCCACTAGATCCTAAATGCATATGCAATGAGTTAGAGCATCTAGTGGCACTTTGATAACCATATTTCGATACGAGTTTCACCCCTCTTAATAGTATGACTATCGATCCTAAATGTGATGACACTCGCTAAATGTCTCGATCACCAAACCAAAAAGCTCCAATGGAATATCACATTTGCCTTGATCTTTTTGTTTTTCTCTTTCTTCTTTTTCAAGTCCAAGCACTTGATCATCACCATGGTCACACCATCATCATGATCTTCACCATTTGCTTCACCACTTGGAATGTGCCACCTATCTCATAATCACTTTGATAAACTAGGTTAGCACTTAGGGTTTCATCAATTCACTAAAACCAAACTAGAGCTTTCACACGGCCTTCTCCGATGGCCATGTCCTCGAGCAGCGAACGGGGCCTCCTACCCTAGCCCGGCGAATCCCTAGATCTGGTCCTAGCGGCGACGCCTCCCCAAATCCGGTCCTAGCGGTGGCGCCTCCCCAGATCCGGTCCCGACGGCGGTGGCTCCCCAGATCCAGTCTAGGAATGCGGCACGGGGATGGGGCCTCCTCCCAGCCATATCTGGTTGCGGCTCAGGACGGGACGCCGGATCCATGTGGGGATGCGGCGGCGGTGATGGGGCCACGTGGAGCAGGCGAGCTCGCCGGTGGGCTCCGAAACGGGCTCATTGGTGGGCTATAGGCTTTTTTGTTTTTTTAATTCATTAACCATGGCGGGCACTTGCAAGGCACCCGCCTCGGTTAGTTGATTAACCGAGGTGGTTCCGTTAAAGGCACGATTAACCGTGACCTTTCGGCGGAGATGGTTGGAAAAACTACCTCGGTTAAAGCTTTTTACCCGCCTCGGTTAAGATTGTTGTAGTAGTGACCTCTGATTTTGGCAATGAGGATACATAATTCACATCGCCCCAAATATTACTTGTGATGGATTTTCACTGTGATATAAAAATTGCATCATTTATATTGTAGAATTCATATTGCCATATTTATTTTATAAATTTGTGACTGCATATATATATATGCATTTTGTTTTTTTATTAAAGAATAATTCCATGGGTGTATGTGTACGACAATGTGAATTTGATTGGGGGCATGGACAAGGTCTCTCACAGACAGAAAAAAAAATCCGGCAATGTGAATTCTATCAAGCCCCATTTAGATCCTTGTAATTGAAATCCACTCGAATAATCACAATTCAGGCACAACTAAATTAAGTTAAAATGGTCACATACAAAATATATTTGTATACTAGTGTTGGCCACATGGGGAAGGGGGGTGGTGGGGATTATGTGTTGCACTTCCACTACAAGGGAGTAAATCGAAGAACGCGTGCCATAAGTTACCGAGAAAAAATATGGCACGGGGACCTATGGACTCAACTTTTTATCCCTCGCTCCCATAAATTCAATATATGATTATATCTAACTTTTGAAAACTCATGGAATGTCGAATTCTAGGTTAAATAGCCCATAAAGTTGGTTGGGAAAGTTTTGGAATCCAACCAAGCCCTTAGGGTTCTTGCTGCCAGGGTGGTCCCATTTAAATCAATCGGAACTGCTAGCGCCCGAACGTCCTATCTGGGCGCTAGCATCCAAACGCTCGCGCAAGTTGTGCCCACCCATGCGCTGCATGTATGCATGTGCCTAGGGACCACTTCATGTGGGGCCCATGCCGCTTTGTTTCCCACGCATGTGCGCCCGCTCTCGTTTCCCGTGTCTCTCGCTCGTGCCCTCCGCTTCCACACGCATGCATGCATGGGCCCAGCAGCTGCAAGTAGGTGGCTGTGGCAGGTGGGTCCAACTACAACATTCAAATATTAGATCTACTTTTGCAACATCCAGATGAACACACAGCAACATACGTCTAAAACAGATGAAACATTTGGGATATAAAGTTGAAACAACATTGCAACATGTGCAATATCTCGATCTACTTTTGAAACATCCAGATGCAACACTTGCAACATACAAAAGAAGACAAACACTTGAGACATGTATCTGAAATACTTGCAACATACGTGTAAAAAACAGATGAAACATTGGGGATAGATGCTTGCAACATACATGTACAACCATTACAACATATGCGACATCCCGATCTACTTTTGCAACATCCGTATGAAACAATTGAAACATACATCTGAAACAACTGAAATACTTGAAACATAAGTTTGCAACATGTCTGAAAAACGTCCAGAAATACATGAAATATAGCATCGCCGCGCGGCCATGACCTACCTAGCGGTGAACTACAGCACTGCGTCCGTGTTGCTCGAAACAAGGGATGCGAAGAGATCCCATCTGATTCCAGTGCTGGCGCCGGTGGGAAGTTGAAGCGCTTCCACGGGGGCAGGGAGAGGTCGGGCACGCGGATGGAGGCCTCAAGGAACTCTGCGAGGACACGCTGTCGTCGTCGGCGGTGGTGGAGTGCACACCGCACGCACCGCGGATCGGGGTGGATGCGGGGCCACCACGGAACCCTGGAGGTCGCCGTCATGCCTGAGATGAGAGGGTGGGTGGGAGGGGATAGGGATGATCATGCTCTGCTCAGTCTGCTGGGTCGGTGGTGCCTTGCCCGTTACCACCTTTGCTGTGCTGGACTGATATAGGATCCGTGGTTGTGCAGGGGTCATTTGGGCTGGCGTCGTGGCCCACGAACAGGAGCGTCCGGGCGGACGGACGTCTTGTTCTAAGCATTTCCGATATTCAATTGCATACCTATTATATTTATTATTTTTTACATTTAGTGTATAATACCTGTATGTGTATAAGAAAAAATCAACCTTTTTTTTGAGAAAATACGAAAAAATCAAAATAAAAGCCGATATACACTGGTATTCACAATTCATCCCAAAAACACATTCTGCTTGCGTTCAGCCTGCCTCCTAATAAACGCCCCAAGGCCCACTGGCCCAATCTTCTCGAGCCGCTAGCGCCCCCAGGTTCCAATCGGCGTTTCCCGCAATCGCATTCGCTCAGCTTCTCTTCTATTTTCCCGTTCCCATTTTCCAAACCCTCGGCGGCGGCCGGCCGGCGCAGTGCCTTGGGCGGCCGCAGCCCGCAGGTCTTCGTTTGCCAGGCGGCCGAGCGGGGTCCCGCTGGACAGGGTGGCGGGTTGAGGCAAGCAGCGCCGCAGCGGCCGCGGGTCAGCTGCCAGCCGACAGTTGCTGAGCGAGCCAGTGCGCTGGGAGGTCGGTCGGTGACCGGCTGCTGGGGCCCTGGGCGCGGCTGTAGGCGAGGGTCCAAGGTAGGAGGCCAACAACTGTGAATTGTGTTTTGTAAGTTAATTTGGTTAATTGGCTTTCCATTTCAATATATCATTGATTGCAATTGGTGAATTTTTGTGAAACTGTGACAGAATTGCTAAGGCAATGAGCATTACTTAAGCGTATCTTACTGATTTTAAATCACTGAATTAATTTTAAAGTCCACGAGCGGTCCTTAAACTTTTAGGTCGTATCATACTTTTCACTATACTCTGGAAATGCATTTTTACGTCCCTAATCTTTGCTCGGGTACTGCTGCAAAGAAGAGACAATCACAAGCTAAAATGGAGAGAGTTACTCCATGTCTCTCCATCTACTGATGCTAATTGGTGCTTCTACATGTTATAAACAATTTCAAGTTATGCTCAATTCTATGAAATTATGTTCAAATATGTGTTATATCTGGTATACATTAATAATATTATACAATTACTACTATGTGGTATTATACACACCAAATATTAGGCTTTCAATTGTAAAAAAAAACAGGCCTTTACATTTTGAATACCCAACCTCGAATCCTGGACCTGCCTGTTGATAGCACGGGATACGTCACTCCTCGCTGCAGGTTTATTGTACAAGGGATACATGCAACAAAAGTTGTGAACCCATGGCTATCCAAGAAGAAACCATGGTCACTGAATCATCACTGTCTAGTGATCCACCTATCACTATTGGGTTGGCCGTGAGCAGCTCCAAGTCCAGCAAGTATGCAGTGAGATGGGCTCTGAAAAACTTTGGTACCAGAGAGAGGACAAGGTTCATGCTCATCCATGTCCGACAAAAGGTCACACTTGTCCCAATCCCGAGTAAGTAGGCATTCTTCAATTCAAATGCGTACATTCTCTTGCAGCTACAAATCTAGTTGGCAAACAATTTTTCTTGGTTCTTTGTAGTGGGAAACTATGTTCCTGTTGATCAATTGAGGGATGACATTGCTAGTGCATACGAAAAGGAAGTTGAATGTGAGGCCCAAAATATGCTCCTTATGTACAGGAACATGTGTGATGGGAAGGTTTGAGGCTCCTTTTCAAGACAGATTTTCTTCTTCTTTTGGAATTTTCACATTCTCAAGTGCACACTCAAACCAAATAAAGATAATGAGATAACTTGAATAACAAGAATGGGCAAGAATAATTAGGCACACCTTATGACTTAATTAATGCCAATCAGTAATAGTACTTTCAAGCATATCGGATAAATTTGTGAAAACAGCAAGCGGCATTAACAAGCAATAATACTATGAATTTTTGAACGACCTGCTTTACATTTGTGATACCTTGGTGTTCAGGTTGAAGCTGAAGTATTGGTTGTCAAGGGTGATGATGTGGCAGAAACTATTTCAGGTGTTGTCTTAGCATGCCAAATCCACAAGCTTTTTGTTGGTGTCTCTTCTCAGGGCAACTTTATGAGGTACTCAATACTTGTTCCGTACTAATTAATTATGAACTGCATACATGAAAATGTGCTAATTCGGTGAAATGGCTTAGGAAGTCCAAGGGCAATAGGACGTCCTCTCGCATATGCAAGTGTGTTCCAAGCTTTTGTATGGTGTATGCTATTTCAAAAGGTGGGTTGTCCATGGTTTATTCTCCCGGATCAGAAAGTGACAACAGTTCTAAGATGCTCCAGGTCAACGAGAGTTCTAACAGTGAGCTTTCTTCAGATAAGTCATCAGTATCAGGTAAAGTCTCGGGAATTTCTATTGCGTTGTCAGGATAGAATAATAAATGATTTTAACTTGATTTATTTGTTATATTTCACAACCAGAGTAGTTGTGTGGAGCCTCCTTGTAATTGTAGCTGATATAGTCATATAGAGAGCTTGTTTGCTATGTTTGTACTTGAAGTTTGGGGCTCCTAGTTTCCTTTCTTGTGATCTAAATGGTGTATTGTTGGCCCTTTGGGTTTCAATGGGAAAGAAATGGGTGTCATTTGGTTCAGGCACAAACCAGTCCGAGAAATTTATCCTTTTCATCCCATGCAGATATTACACCTTCCACAATTTCCAGATCCAACTCGCTCGGTGGGAATCTGGACAGTCCCCCCTCTGCACATCATAATTGGTCACACTGTTTACAAGGACATCTCTCTGGAAGCACTTTAACATCTACTGTTGATAAAGATCAAAGTATCAGTCCTTGTACTGATGGATCTAGTAACTCATGGATCTCAGAAAAAAGTCCAACAGTGAGCAGGGCACTGCAAGAATTGATGCTCTCAGAGGACGAGGTTAGTCGTGCGTTTTCTTCAAATTTCATCTTACTGCATTATGGTGTTGAATCATTATACATGAGAATCCATTCCAGACCTCTATATCTGTGTCTCCAATTAGTTGTCTTTACTAAAGCAGCTCGGCAATCACATATTAGAATCTGTATAGTATTTATCTTTCTGGTTTCCTGAACTAATCTCTGTAATTTCCTGTAATTTGAAAAATATAGCACTTAAATTACATTACTAATCTAAGCTATTAATACTTCTTATCTAGGCAAGCACTCCTTGTGCCAGTGGTCAAATTTCTGCATCTACTAATTTGCCTGTCTCCGACAAAGCTCTAACTGTAAAGAGTGCGCTGCAGGGATTGATGCTTTCAGAGGACAAGGTTAGTTAATTTTGCAGTGTGCCTTTTTGTTCTCTACTGATATATGAGGCTGAATATTTTTGTTCGCGGGAAAGGTTTAGGGGTAGAATTGGGAGGATTAGAGGGGGAATTGAGGGGGAGGAGCGGCAGCCCTAGGGCTGGCTGCAGCCGTCCTGAGGGAGCGCAGCAGCGGCGTGCTGCAGCCGTGGTGGCTGGCAACGGGCGGCATGGCCGCTCACGGCTGCATGGCTGGCGCGAGTGCAGCGAGGGCTGCATGGCTGCTGCGAGGAGCAGCGAGCAGCGAGGTCGCGGCGGCGCAGGGCAGCAGCGGGCTGCTGCTGCTGCTGGCGGCGGCGCTAGGGCAGGGAGGCGAGAGGGCGGCAGCGCTATAGAGAGGGGAGGGAGATAGAGGGTTTTACCCCAAATTATTCTTGCTTAGAGCATCTCCAAGAGACTCTCTATATCCTTCCTAAATGCTAGGAATGGAGATTTTGATGAAAAACTACCCTCCAACAGCTTCTCTAAATGGTTATCCAAATATAGCCATCTTGTATTCCGGATTTTTCGCTAGCAAAAAATAGAAGACGAGAATGACTCTCTAGAGTGCGCACGACATAAAGAAAACTGTTGGAGAGTGAAAAGATATAGAAAATGATTTTTATGCAAATGACTCTCCAAATGATGATTGAGAGAGTGAGATTTAGAAAGGCTCTTGGAGATGCTCTTAATTCTAAAAGATACATCTCCCTTTATATTTATAGGAAGGACTCGACTCGACTCAACTTGACTAACAAGTAATCCTAGCTTCTGGACTCTTCCTAATCCTAAACGTAGATGGGTCTGTTCACGTTGGGCCCAATTGGCCCGACTTGGGCCCCATACCTCCGTAGCTCGTCATGGCTATATTGGCCCGTGACACCACTCCCCCCTTTTCCGCACAGCACATCCTCGCGCTGCATCGTTGCCTAGTTGTCGACGTCGTTCGTTGAAGAAGCTCCTCCTGGCGGTGGCGCCTGCTGTTGCTGAAATAGGGCCATGACGATGGGTGTCGGGGTTGGATTCGTGACACTATATCTCCAGCAGTTAGTTGTCTGTACTAAAGCCGCTGTGCAATCACATATGTGCCAACATTTGTACAGTATTTACCTTTTTCTAATAGTCTTTTGGCTTCTCAGATGTTTGCAATTTTCTTTACTTCAACAGATTTAACACTTGGATGACTTCACTTGTCTCATATTCTTATCTATTCAAATTTCTTAATTAGGCAAGCACTCCTTGTGCTAGTGGTCAAATATCTGGAACTAGTAACTTGCCCATCACAGGCAAAGCTCCAACTGTAAGCAATGCACTGCAGGAATTGATGCTTTCAGAAGACAAGGTTTGGCCATGTAGTTTTTTTCACAGTGATTTATGCACCACAGTACATTTTGTACCTTTATATCTCCTGCAATTACTTATCTGAACTAAAATAGCTAGGAAATTACATATGAACATCTTCATAGAGTAGTTAACCTTTTTGCTCATGAAATTGAATTCCATAGCTTTTGTAGTTCATAAAGAAAATAACTCTTTGTTTAATCTTAAAACTTCTTGAATAGGCAGGTTATGGCATGTTTTGCCAATTTCTGAACTCCCATAATTCTTATTTCCCCAACACAGGATAATGTCAATTTTGAGCTTGAAAAACTCAGGATTAAACTAGGACATATGAAAGGAGTGTGCAAACTCGTTCAGGACGAGTCTACCAGTGCTTCTCAGCAAGTAAGTTTAGAGGTACTGTTTCTCAATATAAGCAGCTAATTACTTTCCAAATTCACATAATCTTACATGTCTTCAACGTATGTTAGATGATTGACCTAGTTGAAAGACGTGCTCAAGAGGAAGCTCGGCTGGTGGAGGTCCACTACAGGATCAACACTACCATTGAAGCAGCACGGAAAGAGAGGGAGCAGCAGTATGCTGTAGAGGCGCAAGCCAGGCATGTGAGGGACCTTGCAAAAGAAGAAGCTTTGAAAAGGCAGAATTTGCAACTTAGGGCATCAAGGGAGGCTGATAATATGCAAAAGCTGGAGAAACTTCTTGAATTGGGAGGCAAGTCATATATAATATTTACATGGGAGGAGATGGAATCTGCTACATCATCGTTTTCAGAGGCACTTAAGATTGGATCGGGAGCTAATGGGACAGTGTACAAGGGCAAAATCCACCAGAAGACTGTGGCCATAAAAGTACTCAAATCTGATGACAGCCGCATTACCAAACATTTCGAACAGGAGGTATATCCCACACCATTGCAAAGTTAACAATTAAGTACGAAGATCATAATGGTACCAGTAATTAAATATTTACATATCTGTATTAACTTTACAAACGAAGCTAAGATCTGCGATGCTAGGATCCCAGCATGCAAGATCACTGCTGTATTGAAATCTAGAATAAAGTCCATGCATATACAGAAATAGATGCCTTATTTGTCATCTCATGTTAGTTCATGTTATCTCCATTAAATTTTTATGGGATGCGCTCTCTTGCAGCTTGAGATTTTGGGTAAGACCCGGCATCGCCATTTGTTGCTGCTGCTAGGTGCCTGTCTGGACAGAGCTTGCTTGGTGTACGAGTACATGGAGAATGGCAGCCTTGAGGATCGGCTGCAGTGCAAAGGAGGCACAACCCCACTCCCATGGTACCATCGTTTCCGTATTGCATGGGAAATAGCATTGGCACTTATCTACCTACACAGTTCAAAACCAAAGCCAATTATCCACCGTGACCTCAAGCCTGCAAATATACTCCTTGACAGCAATTTCACTAGCAAAATTGGCGATGCAGGCCTTGCAACATTGCTTCCGTTAAGGGACGCTTCGTCAACACATACAATTCGAAAAGCAACAGATCTAGTTGGTACACTGTTTTACATGGACCCAGAGTATCAGAGGACAGGTCAAGTTTCAGCAAAATCTGATGTATACGCTTTGGGCATGGTGTTCTTGCAGCTTCTGACTGCAAATTCACCAATGGGGCTAGTTGACACTGTTGAGCGAGCAGTGGAAGAGGATTGCCTTATTGACATCCTGGACCAGCGTGCAGGAAAGTGGCCTGTGCGAGAAGCGCATGAGCTAACTCAGCTTGGCCTAAGTTGTTTGGAAATGCGAAGCAAGGATCGACCTGACCTGAAGTCTAAGGTTCTTGTAGTTTTAGAGCGGCTGAACAATATTGCCAGCACTGCCTGTGACTCAGTGCAGGCAGTCCCAACTGCACCACCAAGCCATTTTATCTGCCCTATACTCAAGGTATTTCTACCATTTCTATCATACCTAATTTGCATGTAGGCCATGTGTGGACATAGTTTGTCATCTTCATGAAAGGCAGACTAGGCAGTTGATGCGTTTAAAATAGATGAAGAACACTATTGTGTACCTGACTGAAAATTCAAAATAATTTTAGAAATTGAAGTATGTTATGGTGTACCTCATTTATAAAATCGAAACTACAGTAGGGCTTTGTTTGGCTGCGCACAAATCTACCCCAATCCATATAGCTTGGGAGGGATTGAGGTGGAAATTTAAGATAATTTTTACCTAAATCTCTCCTAAACCATGTGGATTGGGTTTAGATTTGTGTGCAGCCAAACAAGCCCTAAGACTTACAGGTAGTCCAAGTTACTCACGGCTTGATGTCCATTATTTTACTTGAAGGGTGTGAGATAATACTTGTGTATGTTTTTTTTTTCTGCAGAGGGTAATGCAGAATCCATGCATCGCATCTGATGGGTACTCATATGAGCGGGTTGCGATTGAGATGTGGCTTCATGAGAATGATGTGTCACCATTGACGAAGGCACGACTTCCTGACAAAAACTTGGTGCCCAATCATGCTCTGCTATGCCTGATCAATTGTTGGAAGGGAGAAGCAGGAGCTACTGGGCTCATTCGCTGAGCTTTACTACCCATGGATATTGCATTAGAAGCTAATTCCGTACAGGTTTGCCTTGATAACCTCCATATACAGTAGATACCGTGGTCAAGTGAGTTCTCTGTAAGTAGCAGTTTTGCAGCATCTCTTAGATAGTACAATGTGATAGGTCCTGAAGGTTACTTCTTGTTTAGCCCCAATTATAGTTCTGAATCTGTCGAGTATGACAGACACAGACCCTTTACAGGATTTGATCAGGGTAACCATAGTAATTCGATATCCCAACGTGTCCTTAGAATTTAGAAACACGGGGCATTTCCTCTCGGCGCTGTTTCATGTTTGCTTTTGTAATGGTTGAGACTATGAGATCCGCTCCCCGACTTGTGCGGCTCTGTGATAGTGCCTAGTTGGCTGATGCGCCCATTTTTGCTCTCAATTTTAATGCTGCAAATATTTATTCGTTATTCGGTTATTCCCCTCCTCCCGTTGCTAGCCGGGCCTAAATCTGACGGGGCCTCAACGCACTTGTTCCGTCGAAGGCTCGAAGGGCCTCGAAGCGCCGCTGACCGGCTGTTCCTCTCCTCCCATTCCCATTTTCTTGTGCCGGTGCCTGCTGCCGACTTTGGCGCAGCAGCAGCAGCACCAGTGCACCACCACCATCAACAGTTCTGTCCAAAAAGACAGGTTGATGGGGATCAAAAGAAGGGACAGCGAGCGACGGCGATAGCCGCCTTGGGCGGCCGTGGCGGAAAGGCGGCGCCGCGCCGGATAAAGCGACAGGCGCGATTGTGTCGCGAGCCTTATGTCCGCATGCATATGCATGCGCCGCACATGCGCGCGTGGCGACGGGTCGGCGTCGATCGCCGTCGTCGTAGCAGTGAGGTGAGGCGCGCACCAACTTTTGTCTCGATCGTCACCGGCGCGGACAGATTTATACCGGACGTCGCCGTTGGAGAATAACCACTGGTCAAAAGGGCGGCGTGCAAAACGCATGCGTACGACAAGGTGAATCGCATGCACAAGCGCACCGGAAAGCAGAGGTGAACCGACAAACGTACGATGGATCAGAAAGTATTAGGCGTACGTCCGTGGGTAATACATAGTTTAGATACAAGACTTGCGGCCATGGCGCCGCCAATATAGTGGTCGCTAAGACAGTAGAGGTAGCCGACAACGCGCCCGCCAGGTCGTCGAAGGTAGCAGTAGCACAAGCGCGTTGCTGTGGCGGCGATGAAGGCGATGGAGCTTCCTGTCGCTTATAGCACCCCTCTCGATCGGTCTAGGGTTAAGAACTTCGGTGGGGCGTTGGCGGCTACAGTGAACCTCATGTCTCGTGCCTCAGCTCCACCGTCCTTTTCTGGTGCTGCGCAACAGGGGCTCATCAGCCAGTAGAAAGGCTGAGCGCCCCCGATCAGGGCGCGGATCAAGGGTCCAATTAGCCGTTGGGCCAATTGGTGGAGATCAACCTAACATTCTCCCTCTTGATCTCACCTTACGACTTAAACTTAACTTTTTTTTTTTTCATTCCATCACAGATCAGTACATAGAGCGTGCCTTATCGTCACGGTCAGTTACCATTAGATTTAACAGTTATAATGCATATCTCTGTTTTGAAACAGATACTTAACTAGACCCTTAATATCTAGAAATCATAGGTTTTTCCGTAAACTCATGTCGACTGTGTGTTCTCTAAACGCACTGGGTGATAAGCCTTTGGTAAGTGGATCCGCAAGTATTTACTCGGTACTTATATGCTCAATGCTTTCAAAATAATTCTGGATTTTCTCCTTTACAACATATAACTTAGTGTCAATGTGTTTGGCAGCACACTTGACCTGTTGTCTTAGGAGTTAACTACTTAAAATGATTATTGCTGTTGACTACCATTGTTAAATCTGGGTACTAATTCCCTTAACCTCCTTTTGTCTGTTTCTTAAAGCCTCATGTCAAGGTATACTATGGTATGCATCACTGATGACACTATAATTGTTTCTTTGGAGTTTTTCCACAATAATACTCTAACTACGAGTGTTAGCAACTACTGTGGATTTCACTACACATCTCACCAAGACTTAATATTTGTACCCTCAACTATTTGAGAGTACTTATTCTTTCTTACTCAGTATGAGGCCTATGATACTTTGCAAAATTGCAAGACATTCTCAATTCCATTTTAGTGATCTATATCTGGATTGAACTTCTGCCAAAATATTCTAGATACGTAAACTACGTCAGGGTAAGTTCTCATTTGTACTTGTACACTCATCAAGCTTCCAATAGCTGAAGCATATGGAACCATGTTCATTTAATCGATCTCATATCGATTCCTGGAACACTTAAAGTTCTCAAATCTATTACCCTTGACTATAGGAGCAGACGTAGGTTTACTCGCATGCATAATTTATTTCTTTAGAATCTTTTCCAAATATACCTTTGCGATAGTCCTAATACCCATTTTCTTCTATCTCGGTGAATTTCGATTCCTAGAACTAATGACGCTTCACCAAGATCATTCACATTGAAACTTGAGAACAAAACTTCTTCTTCTCCAATGACGGATTAACATCACTACTAGTGAGTAGAATGTCATCTATTCACAGGATGTGGAAAATAAATTTTTCATTCTTGAACTTCGCATAAACGCTATTGTCCTTCTCATTTTCTTTAAAACCCAAACTTTATTATCATTTCATCAACTTCAAATACTACTGTCTAGAGACTTACTTTTAACCCATAAATGGATTTCTACAGGCGGCATCCCATACATTCTTTTTCTTCCATGACAAAATCTTTGGGTTGTGCCATGTTAACGTTTTCATATAAATCCCCATTGAAGAATGTCATCTTTACATCCATCTAATATAACTCTAAATAGTAATGTGCCAATAACACCATTTGATTCTAAAGAATCCTTACATGAGTCTGGAGAGAAAACTCTCATCGTAATCTACTCATCCTCTTTGCGTAAAGCCTTTTGCTACAAGTCATACTTTATATCTTTCTACATTCTTTTTGGAGTCATATTTTGTCTTGTAGACCTATTTACAGCCTACTGTTTTGGCTCCATTAGGAATTTCATCTAAGTCCCAAACATCGTTGGTATTCATTGAATTTATTTCAACTTTCATAGCTTCTTGCCATTTAAACGAGTAAACGCTTCTCATGACTTCTTCAAATGAGGTGGGATCACCCTTCATTTAAATTTCTTTACTAACATAGACTTCATAGTCATCAGAAAAATTGATTTACTACTTCTTTGAGACCTTCTAGGGCCTCAGCTACTGGCACTTTTATAAGGGGCTGTTGTTGCTCTTCATTGTCAAGAGACGATTGATTCTACATGCTCCTATATTACAAGATCCTTGTTTATATTATTCATCTTCTTCGAAGAGCTAACAACATGTGTTTTATTAGTCATACAACATCAACAGTATTGAGAAACTTGTTGCCCTTAAGTCACTGGAGTGGGCCCGTAGTCCCTCTTCTCTTCGAGTCTTACGTCTCTACATACCTCTACATACCATGCTCCTCTAGATCTTCTCATCTTTTCTAAAGATAGTGTATCTTCAAATATCTTATTTTGGGTTTAATCTGTTAAAACCTCATATGGCGCTTTAAGCACCACCTTAACATCTTTGAGGCTGACTACGCTATCTTCCTGACGGAACTTTAAAAGGTCCAGGAATTTAGCTATTTTTCTGCGTAGGGGTATCATTGTTGTGACCGTTGTACTCCTCCAACGGTCGCATTCATTTTAATTAATCTTTATCTCACTCTTAATGAAGAGTATCTTTCTTAATTGATCTTTATCTCACTCTTAATGAAGAGTATTTTTCTTAATTGATCTTAATATTCTCCCCTTCGAAATATGGCATGAACTTTACTGCCACAATTTCGAGAACTATTCAGAAAGCCTGTGAACAAGGAGACGCTTATAACTTCATTCACATGATTATGTTATGTAAACAAAGTTATTTCTTGATCTATTTAAGAGTACACTTTCCTTATTTCACTTTAAGAACTCAACGAGGTCTTTCATTAGCGGTACTTTTGCAAACCACGCTTGTATCTTTTCTTATCTTTTGGTTAGTATAGACCATGACGATGCATTTCTATTGTGCCACGGTCAATACTAGGACAGTATAAGAGCTACCCAAACTTCTCTCGCTATGCGGGATACAAAACATGTAAATCATCACAAAACTTCTCCCGCCATGCAGGATTGACTAGCATAAGTACTATGCCAAAACTTCTCCCCATGCAAGATAAATCTATATAAAACTTAGTCATGACGACAAAAACATTCACTTATACTTTATTTTCAATTAAATCTTCTCGTTGGTTCCAATTTAATCAGAAAATTAATAAACTAACAAAAAGCAGTCCTGAACTGGCTTGACTCAAGCATTTTAATTCACATAGCCCAGCATTGCAGCCCATTGACATACAACCGAGTGATTTCATCGGTTAAATAAATAAGGTGCTTCTGCATCAATTCTATATCATCATTGGGCAAAAAATATAATTAATGCATAAAACTCATAAATCAACTTGAAATACATATAACTACTCTTCAAAATTTAATTCTCCTGTTGGTTTGAATTTATTTAGAAGATAATCAACATCATTGCAGCGGAAAACTTAATAATGAAATACATTCTTTTAGTTTAGGAGCATTTCTTGGTCCTTATCTACTCTCTGAAAAATTGACCACGTTGATATAAAATTTATCAGAGATTTAAACTTCAAACTTAAATTTATTATAATATTATCATCATCAACGTTGGTTAAAAAATGACAATACATTAATCTTACTTAAATAAAATGGACTACTCCTCTAATTTAAATTTCTCCGTTGGTTAAAATTTAATTAGAGGATAAACATAATCATAATTTACTAAACATAACTGCTCTTCAAATTAAATTTTCCGTTGGTTCGAATTTAATTAGAAGATAATCAACATTAAACTTTGCAGCGAAAACATGAAAAAAATTCTTTATCTAATTTTTAGAACATTTTATTTTACTCATCCACTCTCTGAAAAAATTATCCCGTTGGTTCAAATTTTGACAGAGATTCAAAACTTGACAAAATTCATCAAAATTGCTTCTGAAAATAATAAACCAAAACTCTGTGTTTACTATTCATTTGGCCCGGCTTTGGCGAAAAAAAGACGACGCTGCCCAATCGCACATCTGCTGCGGGCCAAATCTTGTTTGCGCTACTCCTCTGTCATGCTCCAAAGATCGCAAAGGCGGCCCGTGATAACCTCTCGCTACAGCGCCTCCGTGTGTCCCAGCCGCAACTCGGGCTCGGGCTTGGATTCTTCTAACCCACCTGGGCCTAATTTGGTCTGAGCGCTGAGCCATCGATCTGCATCGGACGGTTGACCACGCATCTCGCCCGGGTAAAAACCCACTGCGGTCACCTCCCGTGGAAACCCTAGTTCATTTGCTTCCTCTGTTTCTCTCTCTTACCATTGCAGCAGCCGACTCTCTCTCCCTTCTCTCTCTAGAAACTCGGCAGTCGGAGATGGTGAAGCCACCGCGGGGCCCCTCGCCGGTGAGCGCGCTCGCCCGAGGCTAAGCGCGCCGCCATCGAGCGGCCTTGCGCCGTTGCCCTTGACCCCACATGGCTCTGCTCCCCGAAACCCTAACCATTTCTTCCTCTGCCTTCTCTCTCTTTGCAGCACACGTAGCCGAGCAAAGGAAGAAGAACAGTGGTAGCGGCGCCGCGGCCGGTCCCCTCGCCGGCGCGTGCGCTCGCCCTAGGCTGAGTGCGCCACCATCGAGAAGTCCGGGCGATGGTGCCCTTGCTCGCCCTAAACCCTAGCTTTCCCTCTCTTTGCCGCACACCACAGCCACCGTACCCGAGGTCGACGCAGGAGGTGGCGGCGCCGCTCATGGCGCCCTTCGCGGGTGCACGCGTGCGGCCAAAGCCACGCGCGGCACCGCGGTGGTGCTCTTTGCTCCCTGCGCTCTTGTACGCGACGTCGCAGAGTGCCAGCGAGCCGGCAGCTCTCTTCCAGCGCGCGTAGTCTTCCTGCACGACGGTGGTACTGCCGGCGGTGAGGTAGATCCCGGGTAGGTCCCTCCCCTCACCGACCTCTTTGTTAGGGTTAGGGTTAGGGTTGGGGTTTCTGATCCGATTTGGATCACTTCTTTCTTGATTTCTTTTCTATTTTCTACCCTAAACTTGATCTACCCACTAGCAACCATGGCTCGGGTACCATTGATGGATCTGAAAGTACTTCTATGCGTAGATCAGTGGGTAATACTTAGCTTAGATAGAAGACTTAGGTCGCCAAGCGCAGTCGCGGCCATGGCGCCACCAACATGGTGGCCGCTTAAGGTAGTAGAGGTAGCCGACAACGCGCGCGCCAGGTCATTGAAGGTAGCAATAGCACAAGCGCGGTGTTGTGGCGGCGGTGAAGGCGATGGAGCTTCATGTCGCTTACAACGCCCCTCTCGATCGGTCTAGGGTTAGGAACTTCGGTGAGGCGTTGGCGGCTACAGTGAACCTCATGTCTTGTGCCCCAGCCCCCACCGTCCTTTTATGACGCTACGCGACGGGGCCAATCAGCCAGTAGAAAGGCTAATTGATGGATCTAAAAGTACTTTTAGGCGTAGATCAGTGGGTAATACTTAGCTTAGATAGAAGACTTGGGTCGCCAAGCGCAATCACGGCCATGGCGCCGCCAACATGGTGGCCGCTAAGGCAGTAGTGGTAGCCGACAACGTGCCAGTCAGGTCATCGAAGGTAGCAACAGCACAAGCGCGGTGCTGTGGTGGCGGTGAAGGTGATGGAGCTTTCCGTCGCTTACAACGTCTCTCTCGATCGGTCTAGGGTTATGAACTTTGGTGGGGCGTTGGCAGTTACAGTGAACCTCATGTCTTGTGCCCCACCCACCGTCCTTTTTTATGGCGGCTAGCATGACAGAGGCCCATCACCAATAGAAAAGTGGCCCCTCGATCGATGAGATCAAGGGCCCAATTGACCCCAACCTAACAACATACAGATCAAGGGCCCAATTGTATATATATGGTATATATATATATATATATATATATATATATATATATATATATATATATATATATATATATATATATAACTATATATGAACTACTTCGCAAATTGGCTACAAAATAACTTATTCTATGGCCCTTTTGAGTTACGATAATTACTATGCTAATTCACGAGATTATAGTAACTTCTTACTATGTGATTTACTATAACGTTACGGTAAATATCTCCATGTGTTATAGGAACCCAACTATCGTAAATATGTATTCACTTTATCGTAAATTAGTATATAAAATTATCGTAAATGGAAGTGGCTATAACTTATTCTCTGTAGCTGTAGCTGGCTACTGAATATATATATATATATATATAATCATATTCTGATGATTCAGTGGTTGGTTCACACTGATCCTGTGATCTGATCAAGGTGGCTGCAGATGATCCATGCATGTCTCACACCAGTACAGTACATATTGCTACCTTTTTTTTTCTTCGTCATGTTCTTTTTTTGCTTTCTTTTACTAATTATACTAACTAAACTACTAAAGTACTATAATACTGCTAGGTTTACATATGAAAACAGAGAAGATTACAGTGCGTAGATGGTGACCGGCCTAAAAGACTTAGGACTGGATGAGAATTGCTGGGGAGATTAGATAGGAAGCCAAAGGTATCGGAGCGGCTTCTCATGTTCCAAATAACCCCAACAACCCCATCTTGCTGATGAAGAAGAAGAGGTCAGGCAGGGCAAGAGAAATAAAAACAAGGCAAAACAAGAGTACTCGATCTCAAGGTAGGCTTCCGCATTGTCGTCATCCGATGATCTCGTCTGGAACTGCCATGAACCTCGTCCGCTTCTGCATGCAACAAGGGGATCCATCGGAAAATTCAGAACGAATGTGAAATCAGATTAACAGTAAGTACGCTAAGAGATCGAGATTGGTGGTCGCCATGTGTAAACAGATGCATAGAAGGCATCGTTGGATTTGGTAAAGTCGCAGGGATTTGGACGGGTCGTTGGAAAGCCTTTGACAAACCAACGGTTTCCCTTGAAAAAGAAATCGTTGCGATCGTGAAGGAAATTAATCACTGTATATAGAGTCTTTATTACTCGAGATCTCCCTTTCTCTCTCTTTTAGGTACTACCAGGAAAAGAAAAAAAGAAGAAGCAAAGTTGCAGTTCATGATTGTAATAATCCTTCAATTTGTCCGGGCTACGTCAGCTGGTAGTAAATGCTGCAAGGACTAATAGACGACGACGGAACTAATCTGTTCATTATAACTCCTACCAACTCTATTTAGGGCCCTTTTTTTCATTATAATTCAGATATAAAAAAAAATGTATTGAGCAATGCCAATGTAAAATATATAAGGAAGAAGATGACGGTATGCCTACGTCTGGAAACGTCACCTGACCGGTGGGGTACTGGGGTAGTCCTTGCGAGCCATGTCAACTCGTCGTCACCAATCGTAACATAATAATAATCCCACAGGGACGGCCGGGCACGCACGGGGCCATCTGAGGTCGTGGCCGCGGCCGTGCGTGGTACAGCGCGCGCGCGGTTAGTCTAACAGACACGGAATCTTAGGCACATGCACGGGCCGATTAGCCGGACGCGTGTGCTCGCCCTCATGTGACGTGGACCCATTAGCGGCTACGCGCCCCAACTACTGATCTGATCCATCCAAAGGCTGGCAGGCATGTGTACTATGCTGGATTTGTTGAGCCAGAGGCAGAGGACACACCGGTTAAGTGAGCACCTACTACAAAAACCAATCTCAAACTGCCATTTCTTTTTTTTTTTTTCTTTTCCTTTCCTTCTGAAAGGAGACACTGTTAGTTAATTGAGACTGGCTTCACCTGCTTCTTAGTTAATATGGCCTTTAGTTTATACCTGTTTAGTTCCATTTGCCTTGGCAAAATATTAGTCTCTAAATTTTTGCTGCTAAACTTTAGTCTTGCTTGACGTGTTTAAATCCATGGTAAAAGTTTGGGCTAAAAGTGCAAAATGAGGTGTTCTTTACACCCCCAATGCTTTTTAGCCTAGTTTTGCATCTCTTGATGTGCAAATGGCAAAACTTTAGCCTCCTTTTTGCTTCCACCTGTTTAGATCCATTTACCCAAAACATAGGCTAAAAGTGCTGGGCAAAAGTTTTGTCAAAGAAAATAAACAGGACCTTAATTCCAAAGGGAGCTACTCCCTCTGTTCATATCAAAGAGGCACGATCTGAGTGATATAGTTTTGTATAATTTTTTCCTTTAAAATATTAATTCTACTAAATTGATAACCATGATCTCAGGATATACATTGAAGTACACAAATGTAATGGTATAATTTCTTTGTAACTGACAATGCGCTAAATAATCGGGGCCCTGTTTGGATTATGAAGTTTTTTTTTTTAAAAAAAATGTTGTATAAGAAAGTATGGTGCCATTGTCGAAGATTTGTAAAATCACGGTTTAGGAAAAAAAAAAGAGGTTATGATGGGTGGAGCTCCTTAAAACTCTGACCACACGTGCCTCATGCCTGGCCAGACAAGTACCATGCGTGCGCTGTGAAGTGTATAATTAGGAGGACTATACTCTAGTACTCTACTCTACTAGCTAGCTTACAAAATAACACAGGTGTGACTGTGAGAGATGCCGCTGCGTCTGCGTGCGTGCTCTTGCTTGCGGTTGTGCACTGTCGCGCTGTGTATGGCTGTATGCCAAGCCAATTAGCTAGCCCCACACATCAACCAACCGTCATGCATGGATTGGAAGAAGGCGTCGGAAGGTTCGGTCCACTCCAGTCGCCGCCTTGGGGCCTTGCTGTGCCTGTGCGCCACACCACACAAGCGCGGCAGCGGCACACCACGTGAGGCCCAGGGCGCCGGTGTGGATCGAGCGCACTGCGGGCGCGCGCGTGCCGGCCGGAGCGCGCAAGTGACGCGCCGCGCCCACAAGGCCACAGCACACGTCACCGAAAAGTGGCCGCCCGCGCGCGTGCATGTGTGTGGAGTGTGTGGGCAGTGCGCTTGACGATGTCGATCGCCCAAACTCCCAGAGGATTCAGATCTCACTACCGACTACCGAGCGCTCCTCCAGAGAGAGGCACAGAAAAAATATCCTAAGGTCCTGTGCGCCTTTCTCGTATGTTCAGTTTTGAGCCGGGCTTTTGATGATTTTAAAAAAAATCACACGAACTGGATTCTAAAATTTTTGCCCATCTGTTCCATTGTCGCCTTCCCAACGAGCAGCCCTCATGCTTTCTATTGATTTTCGTGGCAAAAGTACGTTTCGCGATTGCGATGCACCGTCGTCTTTGCGCATTTGGGCGGTTTTGCCCGTGTCCCAGCTACCCCAGCCTAGTGTCACGGGACCGCTCGCGCTTTAAGATTCGCGCAGCTAGCTTCGGATAATGATTTGGGTTGTTTCTAATTGATCGATCATTTTTTTTGGTTAGTTAGCGCAAGAGACATCCCTAACCAGCTAGGCCTAGCGCGCAGTTTTGTTTAAGCTGCAACTCGATCAGAGTTTTTGATGCCAACTCGATCAGAGTTGTTGCAGCATACTAGTATTGCTTTGAGAACTGTTGGAAAGGATGCAGCTAGCGTAATGACAAAATAATATTGTGGTAACTAATTGAGGGGAAGGAAGGGAAATGGAGCAGGAAGATCGAGATGGAACCTTTGACCATGCATGCTATGCTCACCTCTTTCTTCAAGCAGCCCGGCGGCGTCGGGTTCCTGCCGGACAGCGCGGAGGCCGGCGGTGCCACGGTTGGACGCGGTGTCGTGACGCCCTGGTCCCTGGCGACGCAGAGCTGCATGATCCGCTCGGCGGCCTCCGCGGGGTCCTTGCTCTCCTTCATCAGCCGCGCCACCTCGGCCTTGGGCAGGCGCATGCGCAGCCGCACCGCGCCGTCCGCGCCCACCTCCACGGACGACGGCGGCGGCTTGATGGTGGCGGGCCTCGGCGACGACGCACTCGCGGCGGAGGCGGCGAGGCGCGCGGCCGAGCACGGCACGATGGACGACACGTCCGACACGGTGCGCCGGGACAGCATCAGGCTCTCCAGCCGCTCGCGGGCGCCCACGTGCAGCGCCCCCGACCACGTCTTGCGCGGCGCGCGCGGGTCCTCGTCGTCCGCGCCGGCAGAGGCACCGGCGGCGCCGCGCGGGATCTGCACCAGGAAGTAGAGCTTCCCGGGCTTGAGCGGCGCGTCGCGGTCCAGCGGGCGCGCACGCACGCCGAGCCGCCGCACCTCCTCCGATTCCAGGAGCTGGTGGCCCCGGTGGTCGCGCACCGCGTCCCCCGCCGCGGCGGGGGTCTTGTACCGGAACGTCGCGCCGTCCACCGTCATCACCTTGGCCGCGCGCCGCCTGCCCGCGAGAGCGTTGCCCATGGCGCGGTGGGCGGTGGCCGCCGGCCTCGCTCGACCTGCCCTGCTGGCTGCTGCTGTCTTTGCGTGCGAGGTGGGCGCGCGCGCGCGTGCGCTTTCGGGTGTTGCTGCTAGCGACGAGGAGCTCTGGTTAACGTAGTACGTGGGGGGTTGGAGGAGTGAGAGAGGGAAAGAGAGGCGAGCAGGACGTTATAAAAGGAAGGTTGTCCGGTGCGCTTGGCGGGGGGGCTCTCTATCGAGTTTGGTGTCAACAAATCTCCATTGTGTCTTCCTTTGTCACCGTTGGCCGATATCCTGTTCGGCTACGCTGGCTGGATCGTGGATTATTTACTGATGGCTGGTTTACTGGTTTGGTGTGAGAGAAAAATACTGTTCCAGCTTATAATCCACGATCGTATACGATCGTTTACGGCCTGCCGAGCAGGCTGATGATGGGTGATGGCACTGAAAGAAATGTTGCTCATGTTTTCTTAACCTTCATCTGGCGATAAATCTGAGCCGTCGGATCTCGATCCGACGATCAAGGCTCCATCTCTTCACTTGTAGCACTTGACCAGGACAACGTGTCATCTATCTTCACTATGCTAATCTTGTGTCCGCTGTCACTCCACTCCTATCCTAGCTCAGTAGCTCTTCCCCCGTGCGGACTTCCGCTGTTGCCTCTTCTTCCCTTGGTCCCAACAGCCCCTCCAATGCTAACATATTGCCATCAGTACGGTCTGGCCATCGATTGAAATCTGAAGCTAATCATATATGAAACATACAACCTGTGAATAAATAGATATTAGGATTTATACGAGTTATAAGTTGAATTATTATACGAGCGACGAGCCTCTTACAAAATCACTATAATTAATTTCTTTTTTTTTTGTGTTGTACATTATTAACATTGGTCAACAAACTGTGATAAAAAAATGCCATGCTTTTGTTTTGCTGGGGTATTATATTCCAGCAGGACCTACATATTGCTATACTATATTTTCTTTATTTAATATGCTCCAGCCAGTCCCATCACATCCATTACTTCTTGCTTAGATGGACAACACACAAGTGATGCCACCGTCCATTACCTTTGCAATGGACTAATTGTTATGTAGCATATATATAACTGAAAACTGCAAATGGATCTGGCTTATTCATGATGTGTAAGCATTTTATATGGTAGGTTTTAAAAGGTTTAAATTAGGTCAACACAAACAAAATATCACATGGCATGCTGTCCAACCAACCATCATCACTTAACCAAAATATACCCATTCAGCTCAAGACGATCGAGTGCATGCATTAAAAGTTTGCGCATCTAGGCCTCGTTCGCGTGCCCTTAAACCCAGCTTGATCCGCTTATTTTTTCATCCGGAACAGTATTTTTCTCTCACAAATTCCTCCAGCATTCTTCCAAACCATCTAGATTCCTCCAGAATTCAGACAAGCGAACATGCCCCTAGTAGTGTGAGCACGAGAGTATGGTGTGATAGTCGTGCATGAGTGTTTAGATACTACTGCTGGTACTGTTAAGTTTGGGATAATCCCCCCAAAAAAGTTTTGTATATGAGAATCAAATGTGTATGGTGAGGAAACTTTTGTCACGCATAAGGTAGAACTTGGTTTTATTTGTTGTTGTTTTGTTTTCTTATTATCTCTTCGGCTAGCGCTAGGAAAATTGCAAACACCTTCTATAAGTCGCCGAAATAATGGTTTAATGCTAGTTCAAGCTTTTCTATAACAACCACACAAACACCTATTCCTGGTTGTTCAGTAATGCTTTGATCGAGTAGTATTGGCAAGTAACAATAAGAATAAAGTGGGCGAGTCAAGTTTCATACCAGGTCATAAAGTGGGCAAGTCAAGTGTTGCACCTTGTCCATATCGGGAAAAACCATTCAAGTTGATGGGTCCTGGGGCAGGGGCACATTGGCGCAATTTATTTGAAACTACCATCTAATGTACTAGTACTACTTATATTCGTAAGAAATGACGTTAAAGGAGGGTAAAATCAAATTTGGATTGCCTGCAGGAGGTATTCGCAAATGTTTGCTCTTTTTTTTTTGTATAAATATCGTCCACTATAGTACCGTCGATCATGCATTGCTAGCTGCAACTGTGGTTCATATTTGGGTCGTTGTAGCTTCTAGTAGCAAAAAAATGAAGCCTTTGTTTGCATGAGCTGGAGTAAAAAAAAAGCTATAGCTGATCGCCTGATCCCAACAGCCGAACCTGCAGTTATCCATTTTTTTAATTTAGCTTGAACATCCTACCACCGGCCAGCTAATGAAGAGCTACTGTATAAATTGTCTATTCATCTATTATACAACTAATAAAAGGATTAGACGATCCAAACATGCCCGAAGAAAGTAAAAAATATAGTGGGTCAAACCGAAGCGAAGCAAATTTCCACACAAATACCAGTTCTCCCGCGCGTATCTTGGTTTGTTGGTAGGCGCGTGTGAGCTCTCTGTGGTCAGTCTTGGTTGCCTACTACTGGTCCGATCCTGAGGTCCGACCATTTCTTCCTCCAGGTTTTCAGCAAGATAAATAGGATTTCTTGACCATTTAACTACGCAACTAAGATTGATGAAGATGATGTTTACTACTCTCTGCAGATGTCAGGAATAATTCTGGGACAGTTTTTAGGTTGAGTGTCTTCATTTTCTCCGTGTTCTTTGGTTCAGGTCTTCGGCTGATAGTCAGATCATCGATGTCTGAGGATTACTGTGTTCTGGACTTCTGGTTTAAACATATCACCAGTTTTTTCTCTTGTGTGTGATGGTGTGATTGTGATTTGTGGCCTCTTGGAGCCGTATCTGTGCTGCACTGAGCGCGAGCGCGCGCACACACACACCGCCGTGGTTAATTAATTTCCCTTTTGAAATGTGGTAGCAGTCCAATTTCGAAACGAAATAATAAATCAAAAGATGTGCTCAAGGGCCTCCGAAAAAGCGTCGTGTTTAAGTTCCGCAAAACAGAGAGAAGACAACGTTTTCTTCAATAAAATTATGCGACAGTTCAGCTACAACTTGCAGATTCAATTTGATCATCAAATCCTTTTTTTTTTATTTTCTTTTTGAAACTTGATCACATCCAGTTCAGCACGTAGATAATTCAAACTTCGTATAGCACGTAATGCTCAGCTTGTGTCGGTCTGTATTACTCATTACACGTTTTTCTTTAGCTAATCTTACTTATACAAGTTTAAAACCCTAGGTAAATGAAAATAGTTGTTCTGAGAAAGTTCCAAGTTGGTCGCAAATTTAGCCCGTAACAGTAGTACTAGGCGACTAGCTAGCTGACCTCCCATTTGGTATGCACCTACCACGCAGAATTGAGACCGGCCGGTCGTACGGTTTACCAGCCATTAGCCAACACAGACACGCAGTTAGTTAGTTCATGCATGACCGTGTCAAGGGTAATGCATGATCCATGGCGCATGTGAATGATAGATTAGTTTTACTAGCGATTTGGTATATGCTAATCCAACCTCTCTATCACTGTGCATGCATCTCACCAACCTATTTATTTCGCACCAGAAAACACTAGGCCTGAAAAATCGGTAATACTTTACCCCCAACTTCTTGGAAGCAGTCGGTAACTGTAATTTTTCAAACGAGAGCGTCCACCATCAGAGTTAAGTTTTGTAGGCAGATACTAACATCCACTTTTTTATATTTTTTAAAAAAGTGCAGGCAAATTGGTGCTAACGGTGGTCGGTCTTTGTGTATGTACTAGCAAGAGGTCTGAACGTTATGCCGTAGACTCGTGTGTACATACATATATGAAATCGCCAATTTTTGTTGCTGTTTCATGTCCTTTATTTTCCCTTTTCTTTTCAACTTTTACTTTTGTGCTTTCAGTGCTTGGGGCCCCGATTTCACCTTTTTTTTGTTCTCACGAACAAGTGACTACCTTCTAGAAAAGAGAATGAAGATCGGGATTGGGCACCCGACCACTACAACACGGCCATCACCGTACCATATCATCCTTTATTATCACAATCAATCGTGACGAAGAAAACATGCATGGTGTGATCAACATTAGTAGCAAATCGAGAATCTTTTTTATTTTTAATATTTTTCGTAAACTAATTTCAAATCTAACACTGTTTAATTTTTTTTCTTCAAAACTAACACTTTTGGCCGCGCCTATTGCCATGGCACGGCGAAACGCCTGTGCCGCGTCATGCATGATGGCGCGGCGGGAGGATGACGTGGCGACGACCGGGACGCTGACCGATGACGTGGCAGGGTCTGCAGCGCCATAGACCATGGTGTGGCACTGACGTGCTAAGGCCCACGGCGCGACAGGACCTGGACGCAGACAGAAGACCAGCCTCAATTGCAATAGCTGCTGTCGGTGAGGATCGGCAGCGACGCGACCATGACCCCGGCTTCAAATCACAGCTAAACGACACCTGCAGCTCCGACCCCAACGCCTTCGCCTTCCTCGACCCCTTGCCGGTGGGCTTCGACAACGCCTTCTACCAGAACCTACAGGTCGGCAAGGACCTTCTGGGCTTCGACCAGGTGCTCTACTCCGACATGAGGTCGGGCAGCACGGTCGACTACTACGTGTCCAACCAGGGCGCCTTCTTCGGCGATTTCGTGGCGGCGATGACCAAGCTCGGAAGGATCGGGGTCAAGACGTCGGCCACCGACGGCGAGATACGTCGGGACTGCCGGTTCCCGAACTAGTTGCTAGTTAATCTCGCCGGCAGTGCTGCCACGACGCATTGAAACGAATATGAATCAAATAAATGGAGTTCGTGCGCAAGTTGACAAGTTGCCACATAACATTTGTTCGACATAAGTTTCGGACGACAATATTTGTTCGACATAACCAACTAAGTCCTAGGAGTGTAAGGATCCCTCAGACGCCTCTATCTCTTCGGATTTATAGGCAGCACATTGGGAGTGTAGACAACGTCGGTGTGGTTGCGTTGCCGGTGCGTACGGCTCGTACCCTGCAAGTATATGATATGCACGATTACTTATAATCTGTATGATCGTTAG